AGGGCAGCCTATAGAGTCCTTCCATCCTTCACCCCCCGGGAGGCTACTAGCTGCCAAGCGCCGGGCGCTTCCGCCGCGGCACTATGGCAACCGTGAAGCCCTGCCTGGCGGCCACGCCAGCATCCCCTTCCTCGCTGACTGTAGAAATCCACCCTCAGGAGCTCTGTACAGTCCTTCCCCTTGTCTCTATTGGAACTGTGACTCGACCCTGTCTCCTCCTATCACCGCTAGTGGAGCTAGGAGCAGCCCCCATTCAGGGTGCTGACCCTCGCAGTATACTTTCTCTTCCCCGCCCATTTCTGCTGGCGCAGCCTCTTCCCCTCCCTTAACCTTTTCCCCTTTCTCTCATTGCCTTTTCCCCTCTCCCCCGCCCCGCCCGACACACACCACCGTACAGCGGGCACACACGCCCTCGAGAAGCAAGTCTTCCGACTTTGCAACGTTACTCTTTCCTAGTGCCCAAGAAAACTTTGCAGTTCCGCCCAGGAACGCCTCCTTCCCACCGGAGGCCTGACTCCCGCCAGGCTGCGCCCTGTGGCCTGCTCTTCAGCATCGGCTCGGCAAACACCTTCTGGGTTCTTTCCCAAAGCTTTAAGGCAGCCGGGTGCAGTGAGTAAAGCACCAGAGGGCTAGTCAAGTGTCACCTGCGGACCCGCAGGCGAAAGGGTGGGCACCTCTCTCCGGATTGGGCCCTTCCACTGCCTTCGATCCAGAGTCAGCGCAACTTGACTTCTCTCCCGCGCCCACCCAGCGGGCATGTTTTTGTGGGATTAGATGCATCTTAGTTCCCCTGCCCCAGGCCAACTCAGACGTTCGCCCCGGCCTGCAACTCTCCGAGGCAGGCCTCTCCCAAGCCCAGGCGCCTCTCGTGCCTTGCGTCCCGGCGCCTTGCGTCCCGGCGCGCCCCAGCGCTATGTAAACGAGACAGCTTTGTTCCTCCACAGCTGCTCCAGGCCGGTTCGCTGCTGTGGAGGGCGGAGGCGAGCCCTCCGTCCGAGGGGGTGTGGCCCTTAATTCCAGTCTCGGGGTCCAAAGCCGCAACTGGGCTTTTAATGTTTCTTCTTTTCTTGCTTTAGAGGGTCCTTCTCTTCCGCCTTCTGGGTCTGCTCGGACCCTCGCCCCGGAAGCGCGAATAAAGCTTAGAAGCCCCCTCAGACATTGCACCGGGCTGGCATCCCGGCTCTCAGTCTGGGAAGATGATGTTTAAGCATCATCTTTAAGGAATCACCGCCCCCCCCCCAAGCATTCTGTTTCTGATCTTCCAGATCAAATTATTATTCAGCCTTGACACGAATTGGAATTTAGAAAGCTAGGAGCAAAACCATCAACCCAAACTTTATTTCAAACTTCTGGGCAGTTTTCCAAGACAGTTCTTTTCTAGGAGCTGAGTATATGGGAGGTCACTTTCTTACCTTCTGATGTTGCGACCGAACTTTTGAGGAAGCTGGTAGAGCGGCTGTCTTAAAAGATTTGCGATATGCCGTCTTCCCTCCCTAAAGCGCTGGGATCTCTTAGACACTGCACTTGTGCCATGCGTCCACCTCACAGCGTGCAGTCACCGCCCTTCACACTCGCCCAAGGTGGAGGCTGCCACCCAGGTCAGGGGCGGCGCACAAGATAAAACCCACTATGTGAAAAGCAACGGAAAGTGTTCATCGGGAAACTCCCCTATTCTTCTGGGCATCCCATGTGCTCCCAGATATAATAATTGGTAGCAGATGTATTGCACCATCGAGGGATGTGAATGAATTGACTGAGCTTGAAAGCTGCCACTCTCCACAAGTTCTTTGATAGAGATTTTTTTTCCTTTGGGAGGTGAAGTGGGCGGGAGGGAGGTGTGGCCTTACATCTGGAAGCAGGAAAACTGACTCTTGGGAGGCGGGGATGGGGAAGTGATATATGCCACTATCTGCAACAGATAAAACCGAACACTTGCTCAGTTGAGCTCTGGAATGCAAGAGAGGGAGATCTTTCCCAAAATCGCCAACACAATAGGCACACTTTTTTATTTTAAATCAGTTTTTCCCATAAGTTCTTGCTTTTTCTTAAAGTCTCAGATAATTATCTTATGTGATCCATCAACAGAGGAGAAATCCTTTCAGAAAATGACTGAAGAGAGATCTTTCTGTCCTGTAGAAATACCACTCCTCCACCGAGGCATAGGAAACTCAACACATTTTCTGGCTTTGTGAGGTTCTCTCTCAAAAGTGAAAAGTCAGTGGCCATTTTTTTTAAATAAAAATTTTTAGATGTAGATGGACACAGTGCCTTTATTTTTATTTATTTATTTTTATATGGTGCTAAGTTTCGAATTTAGTGCTTCACACACACATGCCAGGCAAGCACTCTACCACTGAGCTACAATCCCATCCCTCAGCGACTATTTTTGAGACAAGCTTTGGTTTGGGGTTTAATGCAAGTGATCATTGTAGTGTGTTCATTCCCTGAATCCTCAGATGACACTGTTTCAACATTTACTCAGCACAGGAAAGTTAATGTAAATTCGTTTCACACAAAGGAGGAAAATATCAAAGATCAAATGAGAATGTCTCATTGATTGTCAGAGCCTTTTCA